AAATGCAGGCGAGAGTGCGATTTGTCCCATGCGCGCGCAACCCTCTGGGGAGATCGTGCGTGTTGAGTGCGCGAAATGCAGGCGAGAGTGCGATTTGTCCGGTGGAGCTGGAAGCTGAGAACTGGCGACCTTGTAGTACAACTGTAGTACGTGGAGTGTCTGGGGAGCTGGAAGCTGAGAACTGGCGACCTTGTAGTACAACTTTAGTACGCGGAGTATCTGGGGAGCTGGAAGAGAGTCCCACAAGAGTGTCCCGCAACAGTGTCCCACTAGAGTGTCTCAAAAGAGTGTCCCTTAAGAGTGTCCTACAGGAGTATCCCACAAGAGTGTCCTACAAGAGTGTCCCACAAGAGTGTCCCACAAGAGTGTCCTACAAGACTGTCCCACAAGAGTATCCTACAAGAGTGTCCCACAAGGAGTTCCACAAGAGTGTCCCACAGAGTGTCCCACAAGACTGTCCCACAAGAGTGTCCTACAAGAGTGACCCACAAGAGTGTCCTACAAGAGTGTCCTATAAGAGTGTCCCACAAGAGTGTCCCACAAGAGTGTCCCACAAGAGTTTCCCACAAGAGTGTTCTACAAGAGTGTCTCACAAGAGTGTGCCACAAGAGTGTCCCATAAGAGTGTCCCGCAACAGTGTTGCTCAAGAGTGTCTCACAAGAGTGTCCCTTAAGAGTGTCCCTTAAGAGTGTCCGACAAGAGTATCCCACAAGAGTGTCCTACAAGAGTGTCCCACAAGAGTGTCCCACAAGAGTGTCCTAGAAGAGTGTCCCACAAGAGTTTCCTAAGAGTGTCCCACAAGAGTGTCCTGCAAGTGACCCACAAGAGTGTCCCACAAGAGTGTCTCACAAGAGTGTCCCACAAGAGTGTCCTACAAGAGTGTCCCACAAGAGTGTCCTACAAGAGTGTCCCACAAGAGTGTTCCACAAGAGTGTCCTATAAGAGTGTCCCACAAGAGTGTCCCACAAGAGTGTCCTACAAGAGTGTCCCACAGGAGTTTGCTACAAGAGTGACCCACAAGA